CATGTCTCTATCACACATTGATGTTTCTCTCCCTCATTCTTCCTCCCTTCCCCTCTCTCTAAAAGCAAATAAATAAAATCTCTTTTTAAAAAAACCTGTGAAAGTCTTAAAAGCAGAAAGGAGTGCTGTATAATATGAAACTGAGAAAGCCTGTTTTTAACTGATGTAATTCACTCCAAATTCTAGACATTCTCAGGGCAGAACAAATCACTTCCACTTTCCCTCCAAGACATTAGAGAAACTAAAAAGAAAAAGATTCATCTTTGTCAATTGTAAAATTATTAAATTAAAATTGTAGGATTTATAAATAATATTTGAGGACAAATAAAGTGCTTAAATTAAAGTGTTCGTGGTGCTATAAACATTAGAAAATAGACATACCAAATATTTCATAAAGCCCTTCAGGTTCATTTCACATAGGGACCAATTATACCCTTTAAAGGTCTCCTGTAATGTTTTCGCTTCAAGCAATATGTTCATTCTTTCTGAGAAAAGAACCTTTGCCTTTTATAGCATGCACTACTTTTTCAACCAGTGCTGATCTTTAGAAAAGTTGCAATGAGACATATAGTGTGAAAGCTAATTAGTTCTTTTAAATCTCGATAATGGGAACTTCATGTTTTCTCAAAAAGCACATATGTTACCGACATCTCAAAAGCTGAAGAGCCCTCTGTAATTAGAATATTCTTTTCATGTGTTAGAACTTTAATTTGCAAAACAGTTGCAAACCAGGGGAAAATATCTAACAAAGACATGATAAACATTAGTTTACTTTAAAATAATGCAACTACATATTTTAGAACATAAACCACTTTCTCAGACTTATGCATGTTCTTTTCAAATTACACTGATTGACAATTATATTTCAGAAAACTCTACATCAAGTTCAAGCATACAATAGGTCACCTTGTAACTTACACATTTTTCAGGTTGTAAAAGCCAGTGTAGACAGAGAGGTAAGAAAATACAAAAATTTAACTACTATATTAACAGAGAAAATATTTCCAGAAAGATCTATAGGGCATAACTTTGATGCAGTGTAACAAGTAGACAAAACAAAATCCAGAAGATGGATAATAGAACAAATTGCATCTATATGTGAAAGATTTAGTCTTAAATTATAACATGCCTAATGCATAATATAATGCGTAAGTCCTAAGTCTAACAATAATTTAAAAAACAATTTCATATTTGCACTACCCACTTTTCAAGTGCCACATAAAAACACTTAATATATCACTCTGCTGCTAAATTATAGTCAATTTCTATCTAATTTCTAAATAATAAAATATTTACCAATTTCTTACTAGTCTTATTAGGAATTGTCAAAGTGTTTATTTTATATCTAAATTTCCTCTCCTAGTTGATATTTTATAAACTAGTTCAAGAACACTTCCATCAAGGCCAAGCTATAAACCTCAGAACTCACTGAAGGACTTGTGGGTCAGCTTGTTTGGCTGTTGTTTTTTATTGGGGTTTTTTTTTGGTGGTAGGGGCGGTTCTTGGTTTTTCTGTTGTTATTGTTATAAGCACTATTTCATGCTTTTCCATACATGAATGATACAGTACACTGAATTCTAAAGATATATTCTTTACTTAATCTTCAACCTTCACATACAGGTTAGAGTATATTTTTTAGCCAAAAACACACAGGTTATTTTTATATTTAAATTTCTTCTTACTAGAAAAAATCTAAAAATTTTAATTGTTTAAAGAACATAAATTCTACAGAAATATTAAATTACATGACAGATATCGATAATCCAGCATATCTTCAAAACAAATATGACAGCAATTTAACAAAATTGCAAGTCTAACAAAAGAATTTACAATTTTGCTGTTCCTTTTAAAAAAAGAAATATTTCAAATTTCTGACTGTAGTTCACAAGTTGTTTTAAGACTCTTGTTACAATTATCACAACAGCTGATAAACTTTTTGAATATGGTAGCTTAAATACTAAAAAATTACCCAGCTGCAAGCTATTAATGTAGCTCTTAATATCATTCTTTAAACATAACATTTGTAAGAAATGAGAAAATTTTGAACACTTGAAACTACTAACAATGACAGCAGAGAACAAATGCCAACCTGACATAAATGAAGTTTCTTCAAAAACTGAACACACACTTTGGGAAAAAGTAGAACCTTAGAGATAGGTGAGGTCCATACCTCAAAACAAGCATTTCAAGAATATATTTACGAGGAATTCCCACCACCTGAGACAACATGGATTGACCTTGAAGGCATTATGCTAAGTGAAATAAGTCCAGACAGAGAAAGATAACTACTGTATGATCTCACTTAGATGTGAAACCTTTAAAAAAAACACAGATGAGACTTGTGGTCATCAGAGGTGGAGGATGGAGGGAGTGGGAATTGGAGGAAGATGGTCAAAAGGCAGAAACTCCCAGTTACAGAATAAATAAGTACTAGGCATATAATGTACAGCATGATGATTATAGCCAACACTGCTGTATGATAAATAGGAAAGTTAAGAGGGTAAATCCTAAATGTTCTCATCACAAGAAGAAAATTTTTTCCTTGTTTTTTTTCTTTGCTTTCTTTTTATTGTACCTATATGAGAAGATGGATGTTACCTAACCCTATTGTGGTAATCATTTCACAATATATAAATCAAACCAGCATGCTATATACCTTAAACCTATATAGTGAGGTATGTCAATTATTTCTCAATAACATTGAACAAAAGATTATAGTTTTACATGTTAGCTTTATATTACATTTAAGCCATTTGAAAGTTACAAATCTTAAACAAAGACTTTATTTGTCTGTGGTCTATTTTTCAAATGTACATTCATAATCAAATAAAAGCATCACAATCCAAACAAATATTTAAAAGGCCTATCATATTCAGTCTAAATTCCATATGTAGGAAATGGACATTTACATACTTCATAGTCCTCAAAATTCTTGTCACTCACATGGAAAAACCTCAACACGATAAATTCAAACTGTAAGTGTAAGCTTACTGAATGTTACAAATTGTGCCCATAGCTAAGTCTCTTCCAATACAAAGTAACAGTTACAAGCGCTATGGCATGGAAGGGTGAAGTCTAGAGATTAGTAAAATCAAGACAAGTTTTCAGTGTTGATGTTACATTTAGATGCAAAAATACTTTGTTACACAAGTGTACCCTAGGATTCTGTGAAACATAACAAAAAATAAGTTTTAGATACAATAATCCCTCTGAGTAGATACTAGAAGCTGCTGACATTTAAAAAATGTACAAAACTGTACAAGTGTGAGCTTAACAGACTGCTGATAGTTATGATGGAGGCAAATACTATACAGTCCACATCTGCAACCCACTTTTGTTTCAGCATCCCCAGAGACTTAGAAAACATTTCTTTGGGTAGGTTGCAAAACACTGCTTCCTCTTTTATTCTCATCACCCCCATTAGGATACAAAGCAACAGATAGATGAGAAAATCAAATCAGCAACTGTAAGGGCTGTAAACTTAATCTCTCTCTCTCTCTCTCTCTCTCTCTCTCTCTCTCTCTCTCTCTCTCTCTCTCTCTCTCTCTCTCTCTCTCTCTCTCACACACACACACACACACACACACACACCATCTTTCCAGCTCCCGAATCACTATTCATTCCACCTGTTTGTAAATCCACACTAACACAATTACACAAACCCGCTACTGAAGGCAGGGGGTGGGGGGGTGGCAATTAATGGTTTGGAATCATTATTCTTCTACCTAGGCACAGGGCGGGGGAGGAGGATGGTACAAAACAATGGGTACTGAGGGGCTGGGGGAAAATCGTTTGGTCCTGAAGCCTCCAGCGTTGAGCTGGAGGAGGGTAGAGGAATAGAGTACTTTTTCTCTATCCCTAAAGGCTACCGCGAAAGAGGTTGCCATCAGGCATGTCCAACAGGGCAGTCTTAGATGCCTACAACTCGCTTCACCAGGCAACACACCCAAAACCTACTCACCACTCTCCGCCAAAAGGAGCGGAGACGAGGAGAGCGTGGAGAGCTTATGGGGAGGGGACGAGGAAAGACCCCACCCCGTACCACTACCGCTGCGCCAGGGACCCCGCCAACCAGTTACACGCCCTCCCGGACGCCCACGGGTCTCCCAGCAGCCTGGACCCCGTGGCTCCGGGAGCCGAGTGGAACAGGACCGTCCGCCAGACGCCCCCGGCCCTCGCCCTCGCGCCCGCTCGCCCTCGCCCGGGTGCTGTCCCGGGCGGCCGCCGCCACCGCAGGCCTGGCCCCAGTCGCTGTCAGAGCCGGCCGGCTTGGTCTTGGCGCCCGGGTGCGGTCCCCGCAAGGAGAGCTGGGTCCAAGGGCCCAAACCTCCCGGCGACAGCACCCAGGAAAGCCGCGACGGCGGCAGCGGCGCCTCCCAGGGCCCCGGCCCCTGGGGCCTCGCCCCGGCCCCGCCGGCTCGCGCCTGTCAGGGCGCGCGGGGCCTCCCCCTGCCGACAGCCAGCCCCACCGCCCGACGGGCAGGAAGGAAGGCAGGAAAAACCGACCCATGGACACCCTCCCGCCTCAGCGGCCCCAGGTTACCGTCAGAAACCCGGACTCCGCCATCCTCCTCGCTCGCCCTCCTTCCTCCTCCTCCTCCGCCTTAGAAGCGACGCTGCCCAACCGCCGCCCCCCGCCTGCCCCTCCCCCACTCGCCCCGCCCCGCCCCTCCCCCACTCGCCCCGCCCCGCCCGCCCCTCCACACACTTTCGCTCCTACCATGCCGCCCCACCCCTCCGGTGCGGGCCGATCACTTGCTGGGGAAGAAAAACAGGCGGAGCAAGAGAAATCGATGCTGCCCAATCAGAACGAGGCACTGGCGCCAAAGAACGAGAATAAGGGATTGGCTCCAGCTTTCCTCTCCCCGCCCTTTTCCTTTCCTACACTCCTCTACGCCCTCTCTCCCGCCCACTGGGCGCCGCTGGCTAGCCTGGTCACAGAGTAAGCCTCCGGCAGGGTAGAGTGACAACTCTCAATCGGAAGTTACCGTTGAAGCCAAAGTAGCCATAATTGATAATGGCAGCGGGAGTTTTCTGGCCTCCCGTCTCCAGTGTGACGTAGTTTTCCCTTCGCCCAATCCCTCCGTTACCCTAGTAACAGTTGAGACGTCTGGGAAGAGAAGAATCTGTAAGTAGACCCGAAATGGGACCAAAGGTGACCAGACATCCCATGTTAGACAAGTTAATTCATATTCCGGACTACCTGCCTGGGATGGGGTAGAGGAGGGAGCAGGTTCCCTGACCCTTAGTTTGCTGGGACGTCTGGTCACTTACCTAGGTGGACAAGAGTTTAGGGCTCCAATAATCTGTTCTGCCCGGAAGTTGCGTTTGGCACTTCTGTTTGGGGTCACGGCGGAAGTGTGGGAAAAGCGTGCGCCCCCCAGGCCCCAGTGAGTGCCCTTTCTAACTGGAGTAGCGAAGTGAGGTGAGAGCCTCTCGGCCTCGACCAGTGGTGCGGGCCTGGGCCTGACGGTCCCTGGGAGACAGCGCCGCGGAGGAGAGCGGGACTCTAGAGCTGCTTCCGCTGGAAGAAGCTTTTCTTTCCGGGCTGGCCAGACGGCGGCCCGCCCTCTTTCTACCCGCCTGAGGCTCGCTGTCGGGCGAGGCCGCTCTACCGGCCCCCGTCGCCCAGCTGAAGCCAGTCGGGACCAGAGGGGCCCGGACGCGGGCCGCCGGGCGGAGTACCCAACTCCCACACGGAGCTTCTGGTCACGCCCCCACAAGCTCCTATTTATTACTTTCAATCCCTAACCTTCGGAGGACGAAGAACTAAGGAGCTTGAGAAAATCATTTTTCGTTCCCAGTTATAAAGGAAAAGGATGCCCCACTCCCCACTGCAGCAACACTTCTCGACCTTACTTCCCTGCCTCCTTCACATTCTGAATTGTCTCCCTTCTTTCTTCTCTCTTGAGGATTTGTCAGCATTCACTGCAGCTCTGTCCTGATCCTGCATGTATAGGGTTTATTAAACAATGTGGTGTTTGTGAATATCTATTAAAAAAGTACAAAATTAGTTTTATATGGCTCTTTACATGAGTTGTCACACAATATTTCATGTAGTTCGTTCTGTAGGCTTGAATCAAAAAGTGTCAGTCATTTTGGTAATACCGGGTTGGACGCCTAAAGCTGCCTAAACCTGCGGAAGAAAAACACCGGGAGAACTTTCAGGTAAATTGAAACTTGTTTATACCCAGCCAGTCAACAACAAGGGTGCAGACCTACCTTCTTAATTTGTACTTCGTTTGTACTCATATTTCAGCCAAAATGAACTACTTGTTTCTTCCAAGGTTAATCACTGAAACGCCAGCCTTTTGTGATTCTGTATCCATGTCCTGGTTTTCCTTGGAGGTGTGATTCCAGATTCTCCCCAGCAGGAAGTAATTTTCTCTGAACTTTCTAGCACCTTCTGTACCTCTTATATGACAAGGACTATTTTATATGACAGCTGCTTATGTTCTTAGTCTCACTGTTGTGTTTATGCCTAAATAGAATGGTTTGTATCAGATTCATCCGCCTATTATTTTATCCTGCACATGACATTTTGGTAAGTACTTACTGAAAGACTGAATTTTGAGATATCTTCTGGATGCCCAAGACACTGCCAGCGAAGTTTTATGGAACTTCAGTTTATCAGAAATTCAGCATTGTCTCTACTGCTCACCCTTTTCTTAGGCTTCCCCTCTGAAGATTTCCAACATGATCTATTCTCCAAATGTTTTATTAAAAGAAATACTCAAACATTTAAAATCTTGAAAGAATACAATAAACATTTATATGTCCTTCACCTAGATCCAACAGTTAACATTTTGCCACATTCATTTCATTCCTTCTCACACACTTTTTCATTGTCCCAACAGTTAACATTTTGCCACATTCATTTCATTCCTTCTCACACACTTTTTCATTGTCCCTGAACCATTTGGAAATAAGTTGCAGACACGATTTGTTAAGTAGACACTCCTAAATTTAAAACAACCTGTTTTTCCTAAGAATTATAAAATTCTCCTTCAAAATATAATATCATCACCACAACTAAGGAAGTCAATAATTTCTGTAATATTTAAAATCCAGTCTGTAAATTTTCTCATTTGACCAAAGAATATCTTAGTACCTTCTCCACTCTCCTGGCAAAAAAAAAAAAAAATCCAGTCAAGGTTTCTACACTGTGTTCAGATATTGTAACTCTTCAGCCTTAATGTAGAATAGTAACCCCCATTCTCCCCCCGCCCCCTGCCTTGTTTCTTTGGCATTTTGAAGAGTTCAGGCCAAGAGTGTTTGTCTTCTTTTTTCTATTTCTTATAAATCAGAAGTTGGTCCAGAGATTTGGTGAGATTCTTTTTAACATTTTTTGCAAGGATACTTCACAATAGTCATACTTTAAGCCTTCTCAAACGCAGCGACATCTACCGAGGCTGTGATTTGAAGCCTTTCCACTTCTTAGCACACTCTTACGACATCTTTCAAAGAGTTTAGCATTTCATCCTGTCTATGTAGATAATGTGTTAGTGCCCTGGACTGGCACCATAGACTGCTTACCTTCAGTAAACTGTTGCTGCCACTTTGCCTACACTTGGAGCTACTGCAATGCAATCTGCAGCAAAGTACTGATGTCAGCATAGTTTCATGAGTTTCATGGCACCCAGAGGACTGTTGATGAAAAGATGTGTGGGCCCTGCAGTGCATATACAGATGAATCTTGATGTTATCAAAGCAAATACCAAGGCAACTGCGGCCATCTGGCCACATTCCAATTTAGGTAGTGTTATTTTTTCCCCCTGAAATTCTCTTCGAAGTCCCAGTTGGTCCTGGTGTTCTTGTAATAGGCTTTGGGTAACATTCATCAAAGCCAATTAAAAACTACAAGATCAAGATTATATTTAACATTTAGTACATGAGGGAAATTCTCTGCTCAATGGATAGTGAAGTGCTTACAGAATTTGCTTCATAATCCCAAGGGAAAAATTTCCATAACTGCCAGGCTCAGTACTACTCATATCCTAGACTTATATTTGATCATGAAAGATAAGTGAAAGGAAGAAAATACAGTTAAGGGAGCAGGAAATGTTCTGGGAGGGCAGAAATTGAACAGTAAATGATGCACTCCATCAGTCACTTGTGTAGAAGGAAATTTGCTCATGTGGGACTATAAAATGATTTTAAGTTGACTACATTTTCAAGTAAGGCAATTAAGACCACAGATTTTAGAATCAGACCTGGGTTTCAGAACAGGGTCATTCACTAGTTGATGACTTTGGACAGTTGACTCATTCTATTTATCATCTATTAAGTGGAGCCGTAAAGTCCCTTAGGATTGTTGAACAGAATGACTCAACTATACACAAAGTGCTTTGTTGGGTGTATAGCACATGGTATACAGTCAGTGTGTGGTAGATACTATAACTTCTTAAACAGTCAATTTGGGCACATAGTAAGGATCAAATATTTATCAAGTGAGAATGAATCTTAAGACAGTGTTCTCCAAGTTTCATGTGGGGAACTTAATAAAATAATTAGAGATTCTGATTCTGAAGAGTCTCCAGAAAAATCTGTATTTCTAATAATTGTCCAGTGAATTTTGATGTAGGTGATCTGAAGATCAGTCCCCTTCCTTGTATATTGTTGAAATAGCTAGATATCTCAGATGCTGAGAATGTAAATTTTTCAGATACTTTTTTAAAAGGTTAATAGCTAACATTTTTAGGACCACTTTCTAGAACTAAATTTTAAAATAGCAATTATTATTTTAAAGAAGACATTTTGCATAAGTAGGATGTTGTGTCATTTTCTGCTGGCTTAATAGTAGTGTCTGCTACTAGAGTATAGCAAAACCAGTGCCATCATCCAAGTTCACCCAGGAAGAACAGTTCCTGTTCTTAGGTTTAGGCACATTCCAAAAGCTAGACACCACACATTTTATTCACATGAGTCTGTATTAATTAGCCAAATGGGGCATGTTGCAACATTCTTCTACCAGGAGATGCCCAATAGCAAAACAGAATAGGATCTACTATGGTTTCCAACTACATGACATGTGATGTTATTTGGCATCTCTGGATGAACATTATCAGTCCAAATCAGGCACCCTGCTAGTATGTGGGTAGCCACTTGAGTGAGAGTGAGCATTACTACAGTGTGTCTGCTGAAAAAGTTTCTTTTTGGGCTCCCTTTTTTACCTTTTTCTCATGTTAGTTTACATTCAGAAATTTGTGTTTGAAAATTCATCAGTAGTCAACCACAAATCTTGGATAAGACAAAATTAAAATTTTGCCATTTTTCTACCATTCCTTCTAATCATATCCACAACCCATACTAGCCAGATTGAATTTACTTAAAAGGAACTTCAAATATCTACACAAGAAAAATTTCTTTTCCTTTACGTAAGTAGAATTGCTTCTGGTGTCTCCTTCCATTCCCAGATTGTATTTTTGCTTTTTAATACTCACTAATTATAAAAGAGGATGTCTTGGCATACAGTATGTTGTAGTGGCTCTGTATTTTACTGCAGTAGCAAAGTCAAGTGCCTGTCATGGCTGGGCAGGTAAGATAAAGTGCAACAACACCCTGTAGTGGAAACTAGAGAACACCCCATGCTCATCTAAGTGGGGCATCACTTCCCAGCCCTAGCCAAATTTTGTCATGAGGGAATATGGGCCTGATGTTGTCATATTTGTCAAAAGGAGCCAAAATGTGGACTTTGTGTGAAATCTGATTTTTAAACATTGGTTCAAATAATTTTGAAACATTCAGCCAGCCAGCAAAACATTTAGCTAGACAGAACCAAGGGCTACCAGTTTATGACCTCTGTGTCTCTTACATGAAAACATGATTGGTACTTCGGTTGAGAATCTCAGAATGCTTTAGCAATGTTTTCTTTTTGTCGTATTTCAGGTGCATTTTCTTCTCTAGTTAGGCAACAAGTGACTCGTCACCTCCATCATAAATTCAAGATAGATTCTTATTTATACCAGGTTCCTATTCCCTGATTACAGTTTTAAGGTTTTTACTTTTTGCTGCCAACTTAAAAATTTGTCCATATTTTTTCAACCTTGCACTATATTATGAAATAGGTTTCCTTTATTATTTTTTTAAATGTATTTTAAAACACAGTTTGATAGCACATGCTCTTGAAAAGTAAACTAAAACAGGTATTAAAAGAAAAACACCTTTGTGCTGTCTTATAGGTACCAGGTGTTGGTATCAAAGAAGTTTTAGAGTTAAAAGGTACTTAATGGGAAATCTAGAACAAATCCTTTAATATAGTTATATGAAAATTAGACCTGGGATAGTTAAGTGTCACACTGTATTTCTAAGCACTTTTACATCTACTTCTCACTTGAACTTTGAAACCCAAGACAGATACTAAACATGTTTTTTGTGAGAAAACAAAACTTCTAATTGGTTAAGAAATGTATTCAAGGTCACACAGCAGTAGAGCCAGAATACAAGCCTATTGCCCATTTAAAGTATAAAAGTGTTAAGAAAAAAACAAATTCCAGTACAAAGCTTGTTTTAAATCATACATTGGATTTTACTGTCACAGCTTATTTAAAATACTTGGAACCCTAAAATACTCTGAAGCATTTAAATTCAAACTTTAAAATGGGTTTTATACAATTAGGATAAGCTGATAGTTTTAGATAAATGAATGGAGGTATAAAAAGAATTATGTTGAAGAGTTCACGGTTCGGAGTGGTAGGCACACATAAAGGATAACTATTGAAACATTGACCCACAGAATGGCTCCTTGGGACACCTAGCAAAGGTTAAAAATGGATTAAGGTGACCAGTATGACCCAGGAGGACAGTTTTCAAAACATCCAAATACTGTCCTGAGCATTTTTAGAAACCAAGATTTGGCTTCAGCACCCACAGTATATTTTAATGTTGATATTTCTGATCCATAGTACGTGACGGAACTGAATTTGGATTTTAGTCATCTATTCCTTTTCTCTGTCTGCCCCCATATGACTATAGCCTACATTTTCCAGATGCCTAGATTAAACTAAGGTACAATATAAAGCGAACAGTCTTATCCAGCTCTTTAACCTTTGATCTTGGTCACATCATGTTCTTATATATCTGTAAAAAATATATAAAAAACATAAGCTTTTAAAGTATTGCGTATTTCTAAGCTTGAGATTGTAAAATTTCCAGGGTATCTTTTAAAA